AGCCAGAGTTTTAGGTAAAACTAAAATTGTATTATTTTGTTACATATTAATTATTTTTATTTTAATTTTGTTCGCAAATATTTAATTATCTATTTACTTATTAAAAGTGTATTTCTGTGAATGAAGACTTTAGAAAATAGAGTCAAATTTATAATGAAAAATCAGCAAAGTAGTAAAATAGTAGCACGATTTTGTGCATTAAGTTGCAGTGTTCAGATATGAAAAATAAAAGTAGCAATAAGCAAGTTATTTAATATACCTGTAATTAGGTAATTTAAGGAATCATATTTAATTAATAAATTTAAAGCTTATTCTCTTTCAACTAGTATTCCTTTCTCTGTTATGATACATTTTACATTACATTTCGTATAGCTGCATTTATTATATAATTCCATGACTGCAAAATATTCGCCTATTCATTTCAAATAACTGGTGTTTTTATTAAAACAATGTACACAAAATTTAAAGAAAATAAATACAATTAATAATAATTTTTCTATCACGGAAACATTATATAATTGCAGCAGTTATGCAGATATGTAGCTAAATCATAATAAAACAGCAAAAAATTAAATGCTAAAATAGCATACACAGAAAAAAGACAAGAATAAAATTAAAAGTTGGATTCTAAAATCTATTTAAAAAAAACTACTAGTAGTCAAACATTTTTGTGGTGCGAAAATAATTAAATATGATTCGATATTTTACAGTTCTAGAATTTCTTAGACGCTTTTTTATTTAAATGAATTGTTTTATGTAAATTATATGTCCATAAGATACAATTGTGATCCATGAGATACATTTGCAAGTTTAGTTTGATAAAAAAAATTACAATCGAAAGTAATACTTTCTAAAATCCAAGCTTGAATTATGTTTATTTACTCTTGGGAAACATATTTTGTAAAAGAGTAGTTCAAACGAAATAATATAATCGTAATTTATCTCCAATTTACTTCCATACTGTTTATTTACTACTATATAACATACATGGTGAGAAACTAAGCAATAGAATGAATCACGTTCTCGAAATTCGATAAATAGACTCAGTCGGGAAGAAAACTAACTCAATAAAGCCAATGCACACAACTTTCTTTCCTCCAGATCTAATAACATTCCACAAAATGTACTTACCATCAGCTTGTCTCCACATCACTGTGTATTGAGTTATTGGAGAATTTCCGTCAAAGGGGCGATCCCAGGTCAATCGAAGGCTGCGGCTGGACACGTCATGGACTTCCAAGTTTTGCGGAGCATCGGGAAGATCTATAATAAAAATATGAATTTGGCAAAGTTTTATTTTCTGGATATTTTTTATAGCTAATCCATGCCTGCCTGTAAATAAAGAAACAAATCGAGGACCATATTTTATTCATTAACGTACAGCTAACATTCATTCAGTTTAATTTACTTTTGCACTGTGAAAGAAAGAATGATCAAAATTACCAGAGTATGGTAAAAATTGCCTCGTATCTGGTTTTATTTTATGCCCAACAGCTCGGTAATTTATACCGGAGCGTTGGTTATGGGTTTTGGTAAATTGACGGTAAAATTTGGTCTTTATAGTGTGTGATTAACTTTAATAAATGAGCTGAAACTTGATATTTTTTTATCATGATACCTTAGAGCATATCCTAAAAAGCATTTATTACGTTAAATTTACCTTTCAGTATTATATTTTTTGCTAAATGTGTGGTTACAAAGCTATACTTTTAAACCAGAATTAACGTTAAACTGTGAACAGAAAAAATACCAAACGAATAGCTTGAAAGTGAGTGGTTTTTGTTTTTTGAACCAGAATTATGTTATTTTACTGGAACTGTCATCACCATATAGTACGGTAATTTTCGCATAAATTTTTTTCACCGTAAAAATAACAAAACGACTTGTAAAATACGAAATTTTATCTAAACATAAAATTTAAAATGCATAGCATTTAAAAAAAATACAAATATGTATCCACTTTAAAGATAATTTCAAAAGTTAGGACTATTTAGTATACTGGGCTTCTTTATTCGAAGAGAATATTAAAATGATAATCAAATGATGACTCAAATATAAATTGCCTAATTGGTATAGCTTACCTCCAAAAGCAATGACGCATAATTGAACCTCGGAGATTGATGACACAGGAGAAAAATTTTTATCTTTCAATTAAACAAATGCTAACTCTCGCTGGGTTCATGTGTGAAAATTTCAAACCTGACATTAGTTTTGCTTCGAAAGCTACGGATTTTTTTTTAAATAACTTTTTCACTCTATTTTTGACAGAAGATTTCGCTACTCCATGTCAATGACACTCTCCATATCTCAGTCCCGAGCTTTATTGGATCTTTCGGCTGTGAAGTTTTGGATCACCCCTCATCAGCCCTGACCTTGCGCTAAGTGATTTTCATCTTTTTCGATCTTCTAAACATCGTTTTCCCGGCAACCAGTACAATGATTACGAAGAAGTGAAAATGGTCGTAACCTCTTGGATATGTGGTACTATGAAGAGGGTATTCTGAATCTACTTGTAAGGTATGATAAGTGCTTAAGCAAAATTGAAAACTATTTTGAAAAAAAAAAGAGAAACGTATGTAGATTCAAAGAATAAATTTGCTTCACGAAAATGTTCATTCATTTTTTTTTTCAAACGGCGCAATCAATCCTAGACGAATTTGCATCAATCAATGTTCACTTCAAAGTGTGTTGTAATTTATTGCACTAAGTTGGCACTTAGGATGCCAGTACTTTTTACTGTAAAATTAATTTTTAGCAGAACATTTAGCGGATCAATAAATCTGATAAACTGTAATTTTTACAGTAATATTTAGCGTAAAATATCTAAACCACTCTAATTAAATTAACATTACTGTAAGAATTAGGGAATATTATTTTAATGTAAAAATGGATTAAACTGAAAAATGAATTTTACGGATGGTGCACTCAAAGTGCCGGTACTTTATAACGTAGATTAAACCTGAATTTTTTATAGTGCAAGTATTTTTGTTTCTTATACGTTTGTGTAATACATAAAGTAAACCTCTGAAAAACTCGTACACTTAGCCCCGGACTAGTGCATTAGATCACTCAACCAATGGAATAATTTTTTTTGAGCATTGTGTACGGTATACGCCGAGTTCAGTACATGCATCCGAATAGTCAAAGCCAGTATTTTAACCTGGATTTGCGTATGGAAGGAGAATAGTGTTTTTTACTTGTAGTTGCTGTCATTTGTCTAAAAGCTTATAAATATCTACGTAAAATATGTCGATTTTTACCTTTAATTGTCACTTGTACGTTCATGGTATCATCGCCAAAATCGTTAACTGCTGTACACATAAAAAGAGAAGAGTCTTTTCGCTCAGCTCTTTCAACAGCCAGAGTTGCTTTAACGCTCAAATCAATCGTTTCTTCAATTGTTTCCGCATACCTAGTGAGAAATTAAGATTTATTATTTATTCGGCAAAATAATCTCTGGTAACAACACTTAAAGCGGTTCTTAATATTAAGGGTGAGTGAAGCGAGCTGGAGAAGTAGTCGAAAGTTTTTTTTTTTATTTCCATGGAGCTGCATAATCAGTCTTGCCAATGAGCAAACCTAGTGCGTTCACCAGAAGTGGTATCCACTCTTTCAGGACTACCACAATGGGTGAGATACCGTTGGTCATGTTAATTTGGACGTCTAGTTTCTGTCATACTGAATGACAGCACCGAGACTCTATTTGGATGCTAAAATGCCCTAGGAATTTAATTTGGCCGGAAATGCCAAGAGCCAATAAGGCATTCCAGGGATCTCTTACATGCCACATAATCATACGACATGGCCGCTGAGGATCTCCTGCATCCCGAAAATCCCGTGTCTGGGCCGGGGATCGAACCCGCAGACTTGGGATCAGAAGTCCGACCACAAAGCAACTGCTCCACCCAGCCACAAAAGGTAAAGAATAAAAGGTAAAGATAAAGAGTAAAGGTAAAGAATATTTTTAGTTACATCAGAAACTAGAACATTAAATTTTAGTAATTAAAAAAATGGTCACAAATAATATTTGTTGTTTTCTGGAATCTGTCGTATTGCATTTTAAATTTTCAGCAACTGAATTTAAAATTTTTTTTCAAGAAAACCACTTAAATACAAAACCACTTCTGAATCCATAAAAGTGAGATTAAAGAGACGTTTGCAGCCTAATGAAATTCAAGTTATAAGAATAAAACTTTTAAAACTCAATTACAAAACTTTCCTGGAAGAACTTTGGCATCAATACTTTTAATTCCTTTAAGCACGTGAGCGCATTTTTAAGCAGTTACGGATTTATTTCGAATTCTTCGATAAAAATAAAACATACATACGCAAAAACGACAAACATTTGATACTAAAATATTCATGACACGTGCTTTTAAAGTGTTAACATTTACATAATAAGATTTCTCCATGAAAATTTTTTTTTATATCCGGTTTTTGAACCAAAAATAAAATAAAAAATATGTAATGAGATAATCTAGAATACAATAATAAAATTGATATACAGATTAGAATTTTCTTCCTCTTTTTGTAAATTTTTTTTCTGAAAAAATCTTATTTTCTTTGATTTCTTTTTTTTATTTTTAATTGAAAGTTTTTAGCACTTAGCATTTTTTCATTAAGAATTTTCATACAAAAAATTCTCCTTATTTTCTATCTTAATTTTTCACTACGTCGATATTTTTTTAAAGTTAGGTTATATTTATTTTTTTAACACTTCATTTATATTATTTAAAAAGTTTCAATACCAATATGCCCTTTATTTTTAACCTTTATTTAAATTTTCTTTTAAAAAATTAGTTAATAAATATAGTTAATATTTGGATATTATGATTATAAAAGTTTGATAACAATAACAGTTATTTTAGCAAATTTTAATTTCGTCTAAGCAAAAAGAATGTTAAGGTTCACCATAAATAAAGTAAAACACTTTCACGATAATAACCAAAACAGTTCATGCAGGTTAAGGATTAACCAACGCCATGATTGCGTCCATGTGATGAGGCTGGTACCCATCGACCCAAACAGGCTGGTACCCATCGATCTGAAGAGAGATCGGCTTGAAACCGTTATTGGGGGTTAAATTCAATTCACTATGATAGGCCATTGCCCCATAATAAATGAGCTTTAGCAGTATTTAAAAAAAATAATAATCTTATTTATTTAAAGTTTTACAATTAAAAAAATTAAAACAGTTTCTTTAAAAAATATATTTTTCTAAACATTTTACATTAAACCCAAACGCATAATTACGAAAATTTCTACACTTAAAATTACGTTCTTTTTAATGTAGTTTAAATATTTTCAAATATATAGATTATAAAAGTTAGAATAACATTTTATTCAAACATATCCTCTAATCTTATATATTTCAGCACATTTTCCAACAAATTCATGAAGAAAAAAAAATGCATAGTAATCTTTTCAGAATATTCTAGTATAATAAAATTGCTCGCCAAGAAAAATATTTTTCGGTCATTTTTGGGTTAAAAAGACAAAACAGTTTCGAAACTGTAATTTAATAAAACTTTCTTACCTATCTTCCAGCGAAGGATCAATAAGCTCACTGTTTTTTCTCCAAATAAAGCGCATGGGTCTATCACCGTTCACAGTGCACTCAATAATAAATTTCTCTCCCTTTCTGACACTCAAAACCATAAATTTTGATTGAAACTGTGGCGCACCTTAATAGAAAATGGGAAAAGAGATTACTTTGTGAAAAATTCTTTGGCATTCATGAATTTATTTTTTTTAAATATTACAGAGAGCTGCTTAAATGAAATAGTCATAAAAACAGTAATAGCAATTTTTAAGATTTATTTTGTGATTATTCAGAAACACTTTGAATGGGATATTTATTGTTTTAAATTTATATCGAATGCTTATCGCAAGATAAAAAAAAAAAGTCAGGTATTTCTTTTTTTATGAAAAAATCAAAATTATAATAATAAGAAGAATAATCTACTCACGTGAATTTAGCAACTTCGAGGACAGCAAATGGGCAAAATAATTATCAATAATTATTTTGCTTTTTTACAATATACACTTTTTATTTTTTATGTAACAGTGTCGTCTTAAAAGGCGTGACCGTTCTTGAAATACGCATCTTCAAGGGTAGATGATTTATCAAATTTTGCAATTTTAACAATGCTATTTTATTAGCCAAGCTAAATTGCATTTTGTTTTTGTCCTCTTATGTACTCTAAAGAGCATTGTAAGAGGCAACTTGAGTCTCAACTTATCAGGTATTTACTAGGTTGAATGTTTCGAAATTATATACTCCTTTAGAAAATCGTTATTGTATTTTCTCGTAAGATTAATTAATTAATCCCTCACTTAATTACTCTAACTTCAATTACTCTTGTGAATAAATTCCAAAAGATCACACTTAATTCAATGGCTCTTGTTTATTATTGTTGTCTACGTATAAATTTGTCTATGTACATTTTTATGGAAAACTGTTGTCATCGCAGCACGATTAAGATTCGCCATAGCCTATGGGATGAGTTCGCTTTAGGTCTATGGTAAAAACTCGGCATTGACATATGGGCTAGTGCTTGAGAGCATTTTACCTCATCCAAACCCCATTGAAAACTCTTATTGGTTTTTTTTTTGCAAATCTATGTCAAAGTTTGATAAATGATAAAAGCATAGATATAAAGCTGCTAAATTATCCTTTTTCTATTTCGGGTTAATTTTAATAAAATTTGCATTGAGAAAAATTGCATTGTTTTGTATTTAGAAAACTATGGTGGTGTTTCATAATTAAGTGGTTCTGGAAAAATTTATTTTTAGTATGGTATAGATAATTAAAACTGAAATTTTAAGCTATGGCGCATATTACAAGTATTTGCAACATATGTCAAACTCTTGAGCACCGATATTTTACATTAAGAAGATTTTAAGATTTTGTCAATTACCTTCAGTTCCTATGAACCGATTTCAAGGAAAGTTGCTATGAAATTACATGATATGATTTAAATAAGATATTAATTAAAAGATAGAGTACCACGAATGCTCTATCATCAGAGTCGGAAAGTGATGAATGAATGATAAAATCTGACAGAGATTACAGAATCGAACCAAAAAATTTCTATAAAATGTAGTGCAATACTGAGCGATAGTGCTTCACCTCAAATTTTGTGCTTGAAATTTTAAGGGCTAAAACATTTAAAACTAAACAGATAAATGAAAACATGTATTAATAAATTAACATTAAATTTAAATTTTGCAACAAATTTTTTACTTGAAATTACGTTAATAATGTAAGCTTTTTTTAAAAAATTAAATTGTTCTTTAAAAAACAGCGTGTATTTTGATGGAAAAATAAGTTTTTAAATGTATACTTACTATGAACTGTGAGCCTAACAACAGTACTTAAACCAACACCCACTCCATTGCTGGCTTCACAGAGATAATATCCCGAATCCGTGGCTTCAACATTGCGAAAATTAAGTGATCCATTTACTAAGATATGCACGTGAGAACTGCTCACAACTGTTTTGAAACTATCAGATGGATGATCTGAAAAACAAATTACAAACGCGATAACTGATAATTATTACTACTAGCTATCACATATGGTGTTCCATAATCGCAACTCTTTATCTAAAAGTTGTAGAATCAATATAAAAAATATATATTTCTTGGATATCACAAATCACTGCTCAAGCTATGGTTAAAACAGTGAGAGATGTTATATTAAGCATGACAAACATGTTTTTTTGACGGAAGAAACAAAGAAAAAATGAAACGTGATAATCATCAAATTGGTTTTTAATGTTTTTCATTCAATTTTCCCCCAAAAGAATTCAAAGGATTCTTTTTGTGGACCTTAAATTTTTCATGACTTAATTTTGGACAATTTTTGTGCACACATGCTAGATTCCTAAAACTAAATATTAAGAAAATCATAACAGAATCGCATTTTAAATTAAAATTTGTGGGAACATTTAAAATGAAATTAGTATGTAGTAAATATGCCAAGCAGTAATTTAAGTTCAGAGATTGCGTGTGACATGTAAATAGAATTTTTTATATACATAATAGTTTCTGAACACTTAAGTTATTATTTCTGTTAGTTTAATTTTTATGAAGAATTTCAACACTTTATAAGTCAAAAAGTAGCAGAGATATTTATTGTAGTTATTATATGCTCTTCTAAGATAAAGTGTCATGATTTTTCTCGGTATTTTTTTTCTTTCCAAAATTTAAAGTTATTGATAAAAATAACGAAATTTAAATAAAATCCATTACAATTGTAGTTGTTCAAGACATTGTCAAAAGAAGTGTTAGATTTTTATACTTAAACTGAAAGAACTAAGTAATTTCATTTTCTTGATACATTTAAAGCATAAATAAATGAATATATAAAAACTAATACTTTTTTATTAGTCTTTTAACTTTAATTGATATACAATCAAAAGTATTTAGTGCCAACCAGCGAGTTTAACGTTGCCCATTAAAAAAACGAACCCTTAAAGAAGAAAAATTAAATTAGAGAAATAACATTCTCAGACTTTCTTTAAAATATAGTAAAAAGTGAGAACTATGACAGCTGTTAAAGAAAAAGGAAATAAATAGTTTTGTTTTAAAGAAATATTTTTAGATACAAGACAAATTAAGAAGTAAGTACCTGTGGCAACTTTCCAACGCACGTGAGGCTGTGGTACACCGTCAGCTTGACAATCAATTCTTGCTGATCGACCAGCTACTGCATGTGTGTCGCTGGGCTGTAAAATCCATCTTGGCGGTACTGTTCCAAGCAAATAAAGAAGAAATTCAGAACTGGTAAAACACATTAACTTACTTTTAGAGTTATGTTTAAATTTTAAAAAAAATATTAAAAAATAAATAAATTGTTCAAAATTCATGTACTTGTTGATTTAAAAAAAATCTGAGTAAAAATTATTATCAATTTTGTTCAAATTGATGCGTAAATGGTTGCGTTCTAATTAATGCTTTCAAATAAATTTAATATTATTGTTAGAAAAACAAAATATTTTCTTTTCTCATAGTTAAGAATATTTTTTATGTTAGTTGTTTTTAATTATCAATATCTTTATTGATAATGTTGTCTGTTTTTTGTATCAAAAAGGAACTTTTGTAATTCAATCAGTTTGTTCTCGAAGTGTCTGTGGGGAAAATAGTTAGAAAATGGAACTTAAGCATGATACTAGAAAATCTTTTTTTTTAAATGTAAGATCACTTCAATACTTTTATTTTAATATTTACAGCTTTTATTACAAAAAATATTACGCACTGAGAAAAATAGTATGGTTTAAACTACTAGAATATGATAACATTTACTACGTCTCTGGCTCAATAAGAACAACAAAAAAATCACAGTATTTTTTACCACAGCACTTGGGTTAAGTTATTAGCAAAATTAACAATGAAATATCGTTTCACATTACGCAATGAAATTTGAGAAACGTGTAATTTTATCATGATACCTAAGAGTAAGCTTTAAAACTATTTATTAAGGTAAATTTACTTTTTATTTTAGTACTTTTTACTAAATATGTGGTATTAAGAACAATAATTTTAAAATCCAATATAACCAGTAAACCGTTTCCAAATGTATGGAAAAATTATCAAATGAATGGTTTAAATATCGAATGTTTTAGTTTTTATTAACCAGAATTATGTTTTTTGTCTGTTTTTACTTTCCCGAAATGACAGTGCAATACAGTACGGTAATTTTACAATTTTTTTCTCTCCGTGTGACTGTTTTTAAAAAATCACAACATCGGAAAAAAATCAATTAATCGTTCAAAAATTATAATTAATAAATAAACCAAAAAGAAAATTATAAATAATTTCCTTATATAAACTCATTATTATATTTACTCTTTTCAAAGTTATTATTTTATCGTATTGGTTAGAAATTAATAATTTTTCACCACCGGAAGAGAACATCCTGCTTAGTTTAAATGTTTTTCTCTTTTTAAAGTTGCATACTATCCATTGTTTTATTTACTTTAATATTAAATAGCATAATAAAAGATTTAATATTCCCTGCTTAAATCAGACAATTACCTCAATACTTTCAAAACTCTCTAGTTTTTACTGTTTCAGTTAAAAATCATTATTTAACATACATTTGCCCGAACAGTATCAATCTAGACTTCTAATTATTTTTTTTACAATTTATTTTTCTAAATCTCATAGCTTCATTTCCCTTAGATAATTGAATCAGATTATTTAAAAGAATAATCGGAAAACAATTAGCAATGCTTCCTCAAACCTGCTATGAAATATTTTAATTCTATTTACTTTTCACTGTGAGCATTGCAGTATATGATCCTGTACCAACATCATTAGTAGCCAGGCAAGTGTAATTGCCGTTGTGCTTGTGTGTTAATGATTTAATGGTAATTGTTGAAACGAATCCTTCCTCTGCGGGAATAACTGTGGCGTCAAGGCTTCTTTCATCTAAAGGAGATTCATCCTTCATCCATCGGGTAGATAATGGCCCATCTCCTGCAACCACTATACACGTGACAGCTGTTCTCATTCCTTCATGAAGATTGTCTTGGAATGAAAATTTTGAAACTTTCGGTTTCGCTGAAAGCAAACGAATTATATTTATTGTAAATATTTCCCCCTTAACTGCATATAATCACTGTTACTATTACCAATTATAATAGTTTATGAATAAAATAAAATCAGTATTGTAAGTATTAAATAGTAATTTTTACAACCTTTTATTTTTAATTATATATTTTGACATATTTTAAAATATTTAGATCATTCAAAACTAAAGGTTTTGAATGACCAGAACAATAATCTTACACAGATTTACAGTAATAATATAAAAAATAGAGCTCATGCATTAAAGCAATTAAATTCATTAAAAACACTCTTAGAAACTTCTCGGAAAAAATGGTTAAATAATAATTTATTTAATTGAATATTCTCTTAACGATTATTTGATTAGTTAAAAACATATTTAGTTTTAATATTTGTATACATTGCTTAACCACCAAATTATTGAAGCTGTTTCATTCTACAATTTCAGTAGAAGCTGGTAGTTATTTTTTTATTTTGTCTGTTTTACTTGTGCATCGAAAAAAATGATTTTATTGTTGTAATTTATCAAGCTTTAACCCGTTGACGGTTAGGGAAATGAGCAGTTTTCATTTCATTAATTCGCGCAGTATTTACGTGGAAACAGTAGTCGAAAGTGGCATCTGTTTTCCACCTTCTTTCGTCCGAAAATGTCAGCCTTCTCTGGCGATGCCAACTACTCGTCTTCTGGAATTGTTATAATAAAGTGGTAGCAAATTATGTAGTAAATTTTGTTGGAGAAGGACATTTTCGCCTACTTTTTAATAGAGTAACCAGTAGATTGTTGCTTTAACGTTGCATTTTATATGTTACTCATAGTTTTTGATATTTGGTGGTGAAAAAATTACTTAAAAGGAGAAATACTAAACTGAAAGTAACTTGACTTTCGCTATTACTAGGAAATACTATTTTACAAAGCGGAGCAAGTTGGCATCTCTGGATGCGGTAGATAGCTCGCCTCACACGTTTTAAAAATTTCTTAAAGTATTCGTAGTACATAAATAAAAGTTTTTACGTATTTTTCGTTTTTAACACAGTCAATGCAGAATAATAAAGGCGAACGAGCTCAGCTCGTCAGCGCGGATTGGGGAAAAATTTCACTACGCGAGTAGTGCTCGTTACTAACCATTACGGTCAAAATCTTGCTCCAGAGCGGAACTCGTCTGCGTGCATTATGAGGCACGATTAGATTGCGAGCTGAACTCGTTCATAACCGTCAAAGGGTTTTGAAAATATTTTAAAAAATATGTAAAAATGCTTCGTAATTGTTTTTGTGAGCTTCATGCACATTTTGAATTAACTAGACTGATTACATAAATGCTTAATTTCTTCAAATTAGACAAAAAAATATTTAAATCACTTTTTGAAATCGAACGGTTAAACTATTTTTACTAAAACAAGCAACGGCAGATAAATCCTGAAAAAAAAACAAAAATAATTTTTTGATCAATAATATACTGAGAAAATAATGGCCAAAAATTTCTGAATACGGTAACATTTACTATTTTTTCTGGCTCTATGGAAACAGAAAAAAGTACTGTAATTTTCTCCCTAGCACTCAAACTATTATCCATACGATCTGTAAAATTATCAATAAAGGGTTTAAATATACATTTATGTATCTATACACGTACATTTTAGTGTTTATTACCAAAATCAGAAATATCTTTACGATGCATTTGAGAGGATTTTCTTCTCAGTCTTTGTTTAAAATTAAATTCTGGTTTATTAGACCCTGTAGCCAAAGATTCTTTCTTTTTTTAAATAAATTCTTCCGCAGCAAAAATGCTGTAAATATCGTACAAAAATAAGAAAATCAGACGCAGTAAAAATAGAAATACCAGCTAAAAAGCAATTTTAAGTACTATAAAAATAGAACTATATCGAGCCTTAAGCGTATTCGAAATTACATCAAAAAATGCCACACCAACAGTAATTGTCGTCATTAACTATAAATTACTAATAATAAAACTCTAGTATTTCAGCCATTAAATGTTCCCAATATTTTTTTTTCATTAAATACATCCTTTTTGAGAAGAGATGAATAAGCTTATACTTACTACGTATAACGATCCGGAAAGAACGTGAGACCGGGATTTCTTGACCAGTGCCTGTGACCTCACAGCTGTAAGTGCCATCATCAATACCCGGTTGCGTTTCTGAGATGAGCAATGTTCCATTTGGAAACACCCGCTGCCTTTGATTTATGGGAAGAACGCGGTCATCTATAAAATTGGAAAAGATTTCTAATGGCCGATATTACACATCTAAAATGTAGCATCAGTTTTATTCATTTCATTTAATAGCTAACCTAATAGTATATCATAGTTTTACTATTTTTGGTCATCATACAGAAAACTATTAGATTTTAAAGAATGATTAAGTTAAAAGAGTTATTAGCTTACTTAATAATTACAAATATTAAAAAAACAGCTTTAAAAATTAAACACGGCAATGAAAAACTGGCAAAATTGCATTAGTAGCTGTTTTGTCTTTGCGATATTGTTTTTTTTTCTGGCACCAATTTTTAGTTTTATCAATCTTCCCTAGAATATGGTTGCCAACGAATAAAAATACAAATTTTGTCTATTGTAGCAAAAAAATACATTTATACTTGCATTAGTCTTTGTCAAAATTTTGGCAATTCGATTTTTGCATGATAGCAAAATTTATCGCAACCACAATATTCCTAACTAATTGGTAATTAAATTAATCTGAAGGCTCTAAGTTCTTATTGAAATGGAATTTTAAATTAAAATTTCTTCACAGAATCTTGGGACAGATTTAAGTCATACAGCATCAAAACTGCAAGTTGTTTTCTTTCTTTTTGAAAATGAGCCGTATAAACATTCGGTTTTATTTAATTACGTTAAACTTGCTCTTCTTCGTTGAAGTTTACTCTACAAAAATAAAAATGCTTTTCTTTAAAATCACCGCAGTTTACCGAAATTGAAATTTTTCAACCCATTTTACCAAAAAAAGTGAGTTGGATAGCTATCAATATATAAACAGTTATGCCCATTTCTAAACTTAAATGATATTTTTATTCAAAACAAATGTATCAATAATAATATTCACAAAAAAAAATAGCTCAAAAGAATAGTGAAAACCTTATTTTAACAGCTAAATAGACATTTATTTTTAAACAATTAAGACTTATTGTGATTTATTAATAGGGAACCAAATAGTTTCCATTAAAAAACTTTCGAAACTAATGTATGTTTTGGTACGTGAAAGAACAGTTAGTAAAAAACTAAAATATGTTAATTAAGGCTATTATTGCTAAGACTCTACCAAAATTGTCGCCAAGTTGGAGACGGTTGAAATGCTTATGAGAGAAATTTTCATTCACCTGCAAGTTGCAAGACGAGAGATTTTTCAAATCGCTAGGGCTTTCCTTAACTTTAACGCTATTTCAGCTTCATTGAGCATGCGCAAAAATATCTCTAAACATAGCAGCGTCATTAAGGGATATCATCACTAAGGGTTATTGTCACTGTTAACGTAAAACAAACAACATGCAAACTTTCTACATCGTATGCTGTTAAATATGTAAAATTGTCAACCCAAAACATGGACAATGATGTTATGACAAATGATGAAACAGACAAATGATGCGTAAACAAGCAGATTCGGTACTTTCAGCCTAGCATTTTCAAGAAACAATTTATGCTTTATAGTGTACTCTATCTATTAAAGACTAGCTGTACTGTATCTGTATCTTTAATGTGAAGAATAAAATAAAAATTTAAAGCAGGATACAGAATTCATTGATGATAAAGATGAAACAAATATGTAAAGGATAGCATTTTTATTAAGTATTCCTTAATTTTTCGGCAAAAAATAGCATTGAAAAACTTAAATTAGAGAATCACTCCGCACATTAAAGCAATTTTCCTAGCAGAATAAAAAAACATACTTTTTCAAAGAAACATGATAATATCATTCCTGGTAAAAAAAAAGGCGAGCATAGAAAATCAAAGAAAATTTCCCAAATAAAAACCCTCACTAAACATTTTAGCGTCTTTTAAGTAAAAAGACTTGTAAGGTTTCGCAAGGAATAGATGAAAGCCAGAAATATGTTTTTTTGTTGCTTTTCGCGTGCGCTTGTAAATTGCTTAGTTGCATTTTAAGTTTATCTTAGAAAAATAATTTTTTTCTTCTTATCTTCAGTTATTTTTCTCTGAAATGCCTTTGAAATGTTTTCAATTTTCCCCTTGCTTTAATATTCTTTCTTTTTAAAACTTTTTTTTACTATTACTTGATTTAAATCTACGTCAAAAATTAAAGTAGAGTAATTTTATTACGGCAATTAATTTATATTGTATCATAAATAACATAATTGTATACCAATTTCTAAATTTTTATTAAGTCAAAATTGGCAATTTAGGCTTTTTTGAACATATTTCAAAATGAAAATTTTACAAATTAATTGACATCAAATATCAACAATTAGTGCTTATTAAAAAGTATTGAAATATCAGAATTTCTAAAGAAACTATTATGCTTATTAATATTATAATATTTCAAAAGAATGCATTAAACTGCTACGTAGTTGATTATTATTTGTTATATTATGTGCAAATAGTACTAAACATGATATAATTAATGAGTTTAGAAAATGACAAGAAACACATAAATCAATTCTAATGAGTTCCATAATGTTCCAGATTTTAAAAAGGGAATTTTCAACCAATAATAGTTAGAAATGTTGAAGTGTTTTTAGCTACGTATTTCAAATATGTGAGTTCAAAATAAAGTCTGGATTGATCTCAAGAAGAATTTTTTTTCCGCTAAGTTTAATGAGATTTTTTCTTCTCATTTTAACCCATTGACGATTCTCCATATAAAAAGTCATATTTTGACCTATTGTCTTCTCCACATAGCAAAACCGGTTTCTCCATATGCTTAAATAGATTAATAGTGCATAGGGAAATGTATACAGAAATGTGTATTGTATAAAGAAATAGTGCATAAAGGTAACATTCACTCAAATTTGCCCTTTCGTTATGCCACCAGTGAGCTATCAGATGATATTTATTTTGTAGTTTATGAATCACAAGAGCAGGAATCAAGGTTTATATTTATTCTCAAACTGAATAGAAACAAAATTTAGGAAATTTTGTTTCGAACCACTCATATAACTTTAAAAAAGGGTCACATTGCAGCGGTTTTAAATTAAATAACTTAAAAGGCAAACTATAATTACACAATGTATAGTAAATTTAACTTTTTTTTAAGGTTTAAATTGATCTGCAACTTCAGTGCAGTGCAGAGTTAAGAATGTGAGTAAAGTAGTCACGTAATTCAAATCAATTTATTCATATAAGTTTTAACACAACCTTCCTTTTAAAATTTAATGTCTACTCTTTAATTTTGATTATAAATATGATAAATTTACCATATAACTACCGCAATTCATATTATCTATCTTACAATTTATTTTAGAAATGTAAGAAAAGCGATTTCAAAATAAACATAGTAACTACGCATTAAATTGATTTATGTCACGATAACTAATTAACTGTGTTTTGAATAACCATAAATAACTATTGTTATGGCACTTTTATCAGTAACGATCTTCTGCGATTACATAAAGCTTTAAAACCAACGATTTAGAGGTTAGGTAAAATATTGCGGTGAAGTATGGAACATATTTCTTTCTGTTTCGTCTTTGTGCATAATTACTTCTCTTTTGATAGATAATTTCAAATTACAATTTCCCTTAAGCCCTTGAAGTAATAATGAAAAAAATTCTTTATCATAAATAGTAAAAGTGTATTCAGATTTTATAT